TATCAATGCATGTGCCCATTGATACGTATTCTTGCTACTCAATAAAGATAGTGCCATCTGTTATTCATATTTTCTTCGTCTCTTTTACGTTTCTCTGGCCTTGTCGAATAATAAATTCACTCCAGATACAGAAATTTTTGAATCTCCCGCCACTGAAGATTCTCCTGCCGTGAGGTTCACTCGATCAGATGTTTACGTGCTTGGTGGCCTCGTTGACCACAACCATCAAAAGGGCCTCTGCTACGGACAAGCCGTTGAGCGGGGACATCGTACAGCCAGATTGCCATTGAATCAACGTACTCTGTCTGGAAGACGTCTGAATAGCCGGCACGTGCTTAGCCTGGTCCACGCTTTCCAAGCTCTAGCCCTTGTGCTATCTGGCTCTAAGACATGGACTGAGAGCCTAATTGAAGCCATTCCTGCACGGAAATTCCATGACGACGTCTGAACTTAGTTGGTACATTACTATAAATACGGCACCTGCTTGCTCGATTTATACTATTTTTTAGTAATGATTTGATGAGATTTCGGTAACATGGTGTGGGCTCACATTTTTCCCTATCAAAATTTCCTTTCTTGTACTCTTTGTCGATAAGGTGTGAAGTGGCTCTCTTTTTGTACCAATATCATTTGGCTTTTCTCTGCTAATTTGCCAATGCTTCTGGGTTTTTTTCATTAAAATAAACCTAAAAGCATATCTTAATTCTTAATAGATTCTACGTTAGACCCATGGCTTTTATAATAAATAACTTGTGTGGCTTATTCTGATCCCCAGCTTTTGCTTTTATGACTAGCTTCTAGAGTAGGGATATGCTTCGTTAGGTTTATTGCTCATTCTTTGTCATACTCACCTTGTTTCGATTCCATTTTATTTCACTTGGTAAAAATGCCTCAATGACATCAGTTATGTTTATTGCTGTATAATATACTGTTATTGGGGTGTTTCCATTAGAGCTGCTTCATTTAAAGCCTCGTGCCGAAATGCATTGCGTCTTCCCAAACTCCTGACGTGCCTCGATCTGCCATATCTGCTTCGAATTACACTTGCTTTTAGAAGTTTCGCCGGCATCTTCAATGAGTTTTGCTATTCTCAGCACCAAATTACTGCTCGTGGCGAAGGCGAGGTGGATTTTTAAATTTTGTGATGTAAATCCAAAATAGACTCTGGATAGGTGCCCGAATGGCTCAAATAGAAAACTGAACCACAATAGGTTGTATTGATCTGAATAAGCTATAAGCAAGAATGGGACATAAAGGAATTAAATCGAAGGAGGTTGCTTGCTCGAACATCGTAGGTATCGCGAAAAATTGGCGCGCAAGTGAGCAAACAGTCTCGATAGGCTGAGAGCGGGTTCTGTGCTATCTATAGCATTCCTCTGTGTTCTTGACTAATTACTAGCCTGCACCCTCTGCTTTTTCATCGACATATGCTTGATTTTCGAATACTAGCCTCGTCACATAACCACCAAAATCGAAATAATGGGAAAGTTCATGTGTTCAAGTTGTTTTGAATGATTGGAGAAAAAGGGGTCGCTTTTGTTAAATATGAGAGATTTTAGCTGGATGCGATGAGTCGCAGTAATTATACTCGATTATGTGACCACGGATTGATAAGATACTGCAGATTCACACGCTATGTTTAGCAGGTCCTTGCTAGATACTAGCTTTACCCGAGACTTACTCTGTGCTCTAATTGAAGTTAACAGACAGGAGGTAATCGTGTCGAAGACATATAAAGATTATAAGTTACATAAAGCTAATTGGTTATATGTCTGACTAGGAGGAAGGCGCGAAGTATAGGCGGATAGATAACGAAATATGAGCTGGATTGAGGATCGACCTACCTGTGTTTGCCCAGATAAAGAAGAGGGAAAGGCCAGTGTATTGAATTGTGGCGCAAATATGGAAAGGCATGCGAATGTGCATAGGTTCGACGTCTAGGCTGATAGACTAACAATACAACTATGTCAGAATGAGTA